AACGCTAGTAATGTATAAGATGATATATCATGACGGTTTTAAAAACACCATCGTCTTTTGAAACATAATGACGGTTTTAAGATGCACCGTCGTCTATTTTGTGTCGTGGTTTAACTATTTTGTAGTAGTTTTGGAGAGTTAAACACCAATTCCTTGTTGTATATTTGGTGGACAGAGTGACAGTCATAATTTGAAATATATGGGCATCAATGCCCTTGGTCGACTAATAAAGATTAGTCCAGAGATAGCAGAGCAATAAATATATGGGCACTGATTGCTTAGAGGTGAGAGAATTCTGTTGGGTTTGATGGATTGGTTTCAAATCATGCTTTAAACTTTTAATTTAGATGACGTTTGAGGTGCATGACGCAGGACCCAGATGATATTCTGAAGCGAAAAACATTTTAACTATTGTACAAGATGACCAAGTCCTCCAATGTGGAAGAGATTGTGGATCATATGATTGATATTGATTAGCATTAATGATAACAATTACAAAACATATATAGCTTCTCGATGTGTGGAGCACGCAGAGCAATTTGCACCAAGTAATCAATGGTTTATCCAAGTCAGAGTAATACATATAGATGGAGTATTTTGTTATTGTTTATTAAACAACCAATGTCATCCATGCCTGACATTGAATAAAGTGTTTGAACATGCGGGAGATTTGGTAAATGTCAAGGTGGCACATAACTTGATGAAGTTGATTGCTGAGGGATTTGGAGAGGATGATGATTCTGCAGATAGTCAGTTGAGATCATCTGTAGTATGTAACTTTAATTTTACACCTTATGTTTATAAATGGTTTATTCAATGTCATTAAAAAGGTGCTATTTTAGTTATTATATGGTAAAGAAATGTTATAGCATGCATGCCTCCCTAAATTTTGTGTGATTTCAAAGGTTACTGTTGAACTTTTGGTCAATGTCTCCCTTAAATATTTAGCCTCCTCAAATAGTCTCATCCATTAACTTAGACCATCAACAATTGATGGGAAAATCGTGGGCGCGTCGTGTTAGGAGGATGAGTTTTCACGTCAAAGAATTTGAAATATAACTTACAGGTGCCATGTGTTCTAGTTAGTTATAAAATTATGTAAGTTACTTTGAAACCATTTGATGCATATAACGTTTGAGACCTCACAGGTGGATTTTTCCTTGAGATTTAGTTTACCTCATTGGGAATTGAAGCATTACTCTATGTTCGTTATTTGTGATGAAAAACATTTTGGGGTTGCAAAAATTGCTAAGGTTTTCGTTCTTTTTGCCATTGAGTTCAACAATCCCTGATAAATTGAGCAGAGAAGATGTAGTGCTGCATTCACCTTTTTATAGTACTGCTATTAGTGTAACATTTGAGGATTATATGCTAGTAGTATGTTTACAACATTTTGTGCATTGCTTGCTTCTGCATTCTGTCTTAAACCATTTCCCTGCTTTCCATGTTTTGGAATGTTAGAGAATTAAACTTCTTTATGTGCAGGTGGAGTCATATTTGCGTATAATTGGTGAGACAAAGCTTCCATCTGTATTTCTTCAGGTACGTTCTGTCCTTTCAGTTCTTTTCTTCATGTAGAAATTTTGGGAAGAATATTCCTGGCAGAGGCATATTCAAATGATGAATCCATCAAGGTATCCCTCAAACTCAGTTTTGGAGGAATAGGCGTATTCAAATATCACTGGGAAGTTTGTAATTTTTTAGACTTTAATTGGAAGGAATTTTCCATATGCCTCTTAAATTTGGTAATGAGGTCAGGGAACAATTGTTTAAGATGCATATAAGGGCAGTTTCATTTACTTTTGGTTATTTCAATGACCTCATGTAGAACCACTACTACAATAATATAAAACAACGATACATGATGCAAAATGAAAAAACCGTTGTGGTTTTAAAAACCATTACAAACCATGATTTGTGTTATAATAACCATCGTTGTGCAGTTCGAAACCCTTAGTTGATTTTAATAGCACGATGATTGAAAGAAGTCACCGTCATCTTTCAAATTAGTTCATTTTAATAGCACGACAGTTGAAAGAAGTCACAGTCGTCTTTCCAAGACGGGCTAATAAAAATTCCGCTTAAGTGAATCCGGGGCGCTTCGCGAACCCGCATTTTTCAATCTATGTCCTAAAGCTCCTGATAATTGTGAAGCTCCAAAACCCTAGCCTCCTTTCTTTTGAAATCCTCGGCCCTTTGTGCTCTTTATCTTGTGGATCTCGTTGAACATGTCCTTGTTTAGAAATAATAGACGACAGTTCTCTTCAAAAAATCGTTGTCTTTACAGTTAATAGACAAGACAACGGTTTATAGTAAAAGCGTCATTTTTACATTTAATAGACGATGATGCACCATCATAGTTTGTCACTCAAAAGATGTCGGATATGACGACGGTTTTCCCCTGTCGTCTATTTCAATTTTTGTAGTAATGAACAAAACTCTTTAGCCTGCCTCAACTACACATAAAGCTTATGCACATCAAACACACTTCCTCACATGTAAAGAAAATTGTGCTGGGGAATCGTCCAGATGTGACCCATATGCATGTGGGCCCCCGAAGGAAGCCCCGCACAGGGGCATATTAGTTCAGCGCAAATCATAATTCTAAAAATTCGTTTCTTAAGAATTGGGATTAAAAGATAATTTTAAGTACAAATTTTGTTCGATTGGAATCAGCAGGGTAGTGGTGTAGTTATAGAAACATGAGAGGGTTGGGCACAATATTTTGTGTTTTTCCATTTGCTTAAGAAGCAAACTCTCTCTCTACACACTCTCTCTCATTCTCTCTCCCTCAACGGAAACTCGTAGAAAATTGGAAACTCTGAGAAACTGATGGTAAAAGTTTCAAGCTTTGAAAGTTTTCTGCTATGAAATGCCGAATCTGCGCTAGTTTCTTTACATGAGCGCACCGTTTGGAGACCTGATCGCTTCTAATTCCAGTGCCGCCGGAGCTCAGCCTAACAAGGAGCCAAAAATGGCGTCAGCTGAGCAATTGGTGCTCGAACTCAGTAACCCTGATCTTCGTGAAAGTGCCCTCCTTGAACTCTCGAAGAAGATATAATTATTTCAAGATTTGGCTCCATTGTTGTGGAAATCTTTTGGTACTACTGATGCTCTGCTACAGGAGATAGTTTCAATTTACCCTGTTCTGTCACCACCAAATTTAACTCCTGCTCAATCAAATCGAGTTTGCAATGCTCTAGCTCTTCTTCAGTGTGTGGCTTCTCACCCAGACACAAGAATGTTATTCCTCAATGCTCATATACCTTTATATTTGTACCCTTTCCTTAATACAACAAGCAAGTCAAGGCCTTTCGAGTACTTGAGGCTTACTAGCTTAGGTTCATTGGTGCCTTAGTGAAGGTCGATGATACAGAAGTGATTAGTTTTCTTCTGTCAACAGAAATAATTCCACTGTGCCTGCGCACTATGGAAATGGGTAGTGAACTCTCAAAAACAGTGGCCACATTTTTTGTTCAAAAGATTTTGTTAGATGATGTGGGCTTGGATTATATTTGTACTACAGCTGAGCGGTTTTTTGTAGTAGGTCAAGTCTTGGGAACCATGGTAGCATCACTTGCTGAGCAGCATTCATTGCGCTTATTAAAACATATTATCCGATGTTATCTTCGATTGTCAGATAACGCAAGGGCTTGTGATGCTTTAAGAAGTTGTCTTCCAGAGGCATTAAGAGATGCTACCTTTAGTGGTTGCCTTCGTGAAGATCCAACTACAAGGAGATGGCTGCAGCAGTTGCTTCACAATGTTGCGTTAGTCGGGTTCCTGCACTTCAGGCCAGAGGAGGGTTTGATCATATGATGGTGAACTAATATAAATAATTCAATGTTGTCCTCGGGCTGCCATCTGCTGTTTATGCATCAGAGAGGGCTGCATGCTTCTTATTTATCTACCTCTGTGCTAATGGGAAAATTTCATCTTTGTAATTACAAAATGTTTCTTCTGTAAACTTGGCCTCAAAAGGCGAAGCTTTTAACTATTGACTTCCAAGAGAAATCAATTGTTCCCAGAAGAAATTGTCTTCTTAGCTGATTTCATGTGTAATTCCCCCCCTTGTTCGGTTTATTTAACAAACCTCCATTATGGCAAAATTATTCCTAATAAAGTCAGCCTTTCTTTTGAAAAAAAAAGAAAAAGAAAAAAGAAGCAAGCAAGCATAAATTCCGTATTTTAAGAGTATTTCATCGGTTTGAACTTTTCTTCTCTCATTTTTTATTTTCGGTTATCTATTCATAAAAAAAGCACCATTTGTATTTGTGTGTAGATTTGTATCTTACTTGTCCAAATTGAAGTGCGCCTGTTCTTCTTTTGAAAATATATGCCTTTGAAATTTCAGCTCAGAGAAGTGGATATCCTACCTAAGGTGCATATAATGAACATGGAAGTTTGCTGCACTAGTTGGCTATCAAGGTGCCATCTTCTAGAACTTTGCTGCTGTAGGGGTTGGTAAAGTCATGGAAGTTACTGTTTCACCCTCACTTTGGTCTAGGGTGATAAAAAATTGCTCCATGTTTGTTCAGTATGACCTAATTTTTGCATAATTGAATCAGTTGTTTTTCTACGGGTGGTTTTATTTTCTTTTAGTTTCCTGCGGAAAAATGAGGTATAGGCATGTATTTGTTGCAGAGTGTGGCTTATGTAGGAATATAAATATAACCAAGTTAGTGATGCTTCAATATGTTGTTTTGAGCCAATTCAATGGGGAGCTTTTTATTTGCGGCAATGCGGGCGGTTTGGAGCGCTCCAGGGATGCCGTGCATGTTTGTCTGCATTTACACTGCTGTGTACCGCTCCCTTGTTATAATAATTCTATCTGAAGTGAATTTTTGTTTTTGTTGTAGGGACATTTATTCCTGTCATAAATTTTACTTGATGTCAGTTCACATTGTAAGTTCTAGTTATCTTTTTGACTATGAGAAGCCCCTTGTAATTTTTTTGTGCATAAAATTGAACATTCGACATCTGTAGTAGCTATCCGGTCATGCAATGACAATAATAATGCGCTTCCGTGAACAAAGAATAAAGTTGTAATTCCTGCCCCTTTTTTCCTAGTTTGTAAAGCCAAATTCTTTTTGGGTAAATGGAGCCATTGGAGATGTTAGCTCTACCAGGGCTGTTCAAACAACAACTGGTATTCAAAGAACCAAAATCCATTCGCAATCTAGACAGGAGTTCGAAAACTACAAAATATGGATGACACTATCATTGCCCGTCAAACTTTTCATCTTGCAGTTTCAATTGTTCCAAATCCCATTTCGTGCCTTTTGCAAGATTATCAAAAATCCTGCAGTTGAGTTGCAGCAACTTCACATCATTTAGACATGCTGGGATTCTTGTACCTTGCCAATACCAGCAACATCACTAGTATAATGAGACATAATCTTTCAACAGAAATATGTTGGAAATATTTGGATGCCTGTTTACAATTAATGTCTAATTTCAATAAACCTTGATTGGAAATTATGAAATAGATAAATCTGTTACATTTTGTCCCCAACACACATCAATTCCAGTTAATGAGATAGAAGAATCATAGACAAAATATATGTGTGGAATGAATACTGGATACATCAATTGAGAAGAAAGGTATTGCCTTATGCAACTTAAAATGGAATCTCAGAAATTGGTAGCGCCTCAACACACCTCTTGATTACTAGACCATTGCCGGAAATTGTTGGCGAGATATCCTAGTCCTATTAGAATATTTCTTTCTTATTCTGTTAGGATTTTATTTGTTTCCTCTTTGTATAGATATTATGTAATTATGACTTTTCTTATTTCCTAGTATAACCCTACTAAGGTTTGTAACCTTGTATTATAAATACCTCCTTTCGAATAATGAAATATATCTGAAATATTCTATCCATATTGTTTGACTTGGCATCAGAGCCGACTTTCTGGTGACCTGTGTGTGTTGTGCCCACTCGTGTTCTACTGTGTGCCTTAATTCCTTTTAGGGTTCTTGTGCTTGTGACTGTGCTGTGTTTGTCGTATCTGCTTCGTGTTGTGTTTTTCCGCTGCTATCATGGGTGATAATTCCAAAGTCGTGATGGGTGCCAGTGCATCTACAACAAAGGAGGAACGTCCCTCGCGTGATTACTCTACCCCGATTACTTCTGACAAATTGGATGGCTCTAATTATGCGTCTTGGTCTCGTGGTGCGGGTATTCCAATTACTAGTCGTCGTATGGCAAGTTGGATCAATGGGAAGAAGCCTGCTCCATCTAAAGATTCCACTGCCTATGCCGAATGGGAAGAAAATAATTGTCTGGTGCAGTCATGGCTTCTCAGTTCCATGACTAAGCCAGTTCGTGCTTTGTTTGAACATGGTGCTACTGTTTTTGATATATGGGAAGCCGCTCGGAAGACTTATACTGTGACTCAAAATAGTTCTCGTCTGTTTCAACTCCGACGGCAGTCAATCCTTACGTGTCAGAATGGTGAATCTATCAAAGTGTTCTATGAAAAACTCCATGCTATCTGGGAAGAGATTGATTGTCTGCGTCCACATGAATATAGTTGTACTGATGATGGGGCTTGCCGTTTGAAAGAACTTGAAGCCGATCGAGTTTATGATTTTCTTGGAGGACTTGATCTACCATATGATGGTGTCCGTAGCCGTATCCTTGCTCTTAGTCCTGTCCCGCCCCCTCTTGAGGCCTATGCCATGGTTATGGAGGAAGACACCTGTCAGTCCGCTATGCTTGGAGGAGGTTCTATGGCCCTCAAAGTCAACCCAGCACGTCAACAACCGGTCGCACAGCACGACGCAACCGGTCGCCCCTCATCCAGAAAATTTTCTAGTTTTGCTGGGTCGCGTCCTGCTGGCTCTACCCCTAGCTCTCTTGACGGTCCTCCTAAATGTCTTCATTGTAATGGGAATCACTACTCTGAGAAGTGCTTTAAGGAGCATGGTTATCCTGATTGGTTTGCTGACTACAAAGCTCGTATATACGGTCCCAAGGCCGCCTGCACTATGACACAAGATGGGACCTGTCCTCCGGCCCCGTCTGCAAATCTGTGTGCTTCCGATACCATGCCAGGTATGGGTTCTAATACTTGGATAATTGACACTGGTGCTTCTGATCATATGACTTATGATACCAATATGTTTGATGAGTTGTCTCGTAACCCTCGTGACCCCTATATTACTAATGCTAATGGTTTAACTTCCCCAGTTACCGATGAAGGTACCATCCACCTCACTCCTTCTTTACCTCTGTCCCATGCTCTTTTGGTTCCAAATATTCGTTGCAATTTGTTGTCTGTTATGCGTTTACTTGATACACTTAATGCTTCCGCTACTTTCTATTCTACCCATTGTTTTTTCCAGGATCTCAAGACTCACGCGAAGATTGGGCATGGTAAACGGATAGGGGGGTTGTACTACTTACAGTTACCGGCTACAGCAGTTCGTGGGTGTGTGGCTAATAAAGTCCAGGGTGGTAGTGTCAAAGACAAACAACAACTTTGGCTGTGGCATCGTCGCTTAGGACATCCTTCATTTGGTTATCTTAAGCATTTGTTTCCTTCATTATTTAGTTCGTGTGATGAGTCTAGCTTCAAATGTGAGACTTGTGTAATGGCCAAGAGCCACCGTATTGTTTTTCCTTTGAGTAATAATAAAGCTGCACTGCCTTTTGAGTTAGTACATTCTGATGTATGGGGCCCTGTCCGTGTGACTTCTCATGGTTTCCGTTGGTTTGTCACGTTCATTGATGATTGCACTCGCTTAACATGGGTATATTTGATGAAGAATAAACATGATGTTGCCTCTATTCTTCCTGAGTTTTGTGCCATGGTGTCTACTTAGTTTCATGCCAGTGTTAAAGTATTTCAAACTGATAACGGAGGTGAATATGTGAATTATACCTTGACCCAGTTCTTCCATGATCAAGGTATCATCCATCAAACTACCACTCCATTCACTCCTCAACAGAATGGTGTGTCTGAACGTATGAATCGTCAATTACTTGAAGTTGCTCGCTCTCTTATGTTGGATATGTCTGTTCCCACCATCTTTGGGGACATGGTGTTTTGGCCGCAGCCTATTTGATTAACCGTACCCTAGTCGGGTTCTAGATTTCAAGACTCCGCTTGATGTATTTTATGTCCATACTCCTCCAGTTTCGGTCTCCAAGCTACCTCCGAAGGTGTTTGGATGTGTTGCTTATGTTCATGTTTATTCCCATCAACGAAGTAAACTTGACCCATGTGCTCTCCGCTGTGACAGGATCCGCCCCGAATTTCCCGGAACCCGAGACGAACCCTGCGGAGACCCCGGCATCACCCCCATGCCGGGTTCACTCCTTAAATCTATGTCCTCGTTTACCAGAGGGGATTAAGGGCATGAGACTTCCTGCCGAAATTTCAGCAGAGTCTCCCCTGTAAATTGAACATTTTCCTAAAATTTCCACCTGCATAAAACACATTTTATAACTCATCCGACAACACGCACAATATAATCTCATGCAATTTACACAAATGGGTTCAAATGATTCTAGCAGAACTACCCACAATGTTTTTACAATAATTTAATGCGTCAAACATGCATATAACAAATTCAAAATCTATTTACGCAC